GGGGGGGGGGGGGGGGTGGGGGGGGGGGGGGGGGGGGGGCGGTGAGAACGTGAACCACTTTGCTGTCCAGTGCGGGCGTTGCTAAATTTTGCATCTATTTATTATAACTTCATTACTGGTAACAAAAATGTCAAAATACGAATCGGTACCAAGTCGTCGCAAATAATCGAAAATGGGGGATTATTTGTGATTTCTCATTGAAATCTATACTAATCATGTTCCTATTTACGGAAAATTCACTTTTATCAAGTCAGTTCGATCAGTCTGACTATCGTCCGTAACGTAACGTCAGTCACCGATGACGTCACACGTCTCTCGTTCCTCGCATGCCAGGAGCTGCGCGGGCAAGACGTGGATTCGCTGGAACTGAGCCCCGTCAGCACTCAACAAGGCAGTCCGCAGGTCCTCAAGTGAGCCACTTTCTCTCTCGGGGAAAGGAAAACGTCAAACTTGCAAACTTGCAAATTTGCAAATTTTTTCGATGCTCAGGCTGGCCCTGAACGCCGCGTGCGTGGCCTCGTCGGACGCGGGCGCCCTGGACTGCATCGCCTGCCTGGAGAGGAAGCTCGTGGGGAATTGGACGCAAGGGGAGGACTCTTGGGCCACCGCGGATAAGATCAACGCGCAGGGCATCGTGGAGGCCGAGAAGTACTGCGCTTCGCAGAACTCCTCCTTTTTCGCCCCTCAGTTTCAGAGCTGCATCGACAACACGGTAATTTTTTTTTTCTCGTCATTTTCCGCTGACTTTCCGCTGTCTTACCGCTGTCTTTCCGCGCGCGTCTCCATGTTGCAGACGTTGAGCAGTCCACCGACGGCGAACGAGACGACGACCATCATCAAGTGCCTCATGTCTCGGGCCAAGCTGAGCATCGTGAGTCGATTACTTGAGTCGCATTTCAATCGTCAAAGGGCCGAAATGTCATCGCGTGTGTGTGTGTGTGTGTGTGTGTGTGTCCAGGACTTCAACTGCGCCGTGAAGAACGGGCTGAACGGGATCGACCCGTCGACCGCGACCGAGGCGACGCTGTTGGCGTACAGAAACTGCAAGATGGAGAAATGGCGAATCGCCACGGTCTGGTTTCCATTTATTTATTCATTTGATATTATTTATTTATTTATCCGATATTTATTTATTTATTTGGTATTTATTTTAGTTGTAGTAATTGTAATCTATTAATATAAAAGGAATTAAAATTTTCAGTACACATTTTTTATTTTAATTAATTTAATTAATTAGATAACCTGGACGTTGTTGCGTTTAGGACGTGACGTCCTTGACCCTGCCGAACGAGGAGGAGATGCTGTCGCTGATCTACGTCCAGAAGGTGAACCTCCTCAAGACGGTGACCCAGCAGGTGGGGATGGAGGCCGGAGGGGTGGCCCCGGCCCCGTCGGCGGGGGACCTCGGCCTGCTGCCGCCGGACAACTCCCTGCTGGGGAACTCGAAGATCAGCCAGACCCAGCTGGACAACGCGATGAAGTTCCTGAAGGACCTGGCGAGCGAGCACGGGGTCTCGGTGAATCAGATTATAAACGCCGATGCGTCCGTCCGGCAGGCGATCGATCAGGGTGGGTTCATGGTTCCCTTCTGTCGGCTATAGATGTCTCTGCCTGTCCAGGGCCCCATGCCGTGGTGAGCCGTGGCTTTGGGAGCGATTCCCTGTCGCATACAGGCTGCTCACAGGCCCACTATTTTGAGATTACCTCATCGGTATATCGACTAATTACCAAATCGCGAAAATAATTGCAATATGAATGCATGGATTCATTCCATTATTGCAAAGTCAACGATATCATCAGATTCGTGCTTAACTTCCTTAACCTTTTCTCTGATTTCGACAATATTTTGCACCTCTCCTGTAAGAGTCGCTCTGGCCTTCGAACCCTCGCGGCACGACTGAACACGATACATGCTGGCAAGCCACAGTAACAGGCTCTCGCCTTCCCGCCATCCAGTCGATCCCGCGCCTTCCCGCCATGTAGTTCATTAGGACAACATCCGAATCATTGCAATCGAACTCGATTGGGAACGTCGCGTCCCTTTGCGCGTTTCGCTGAAGCCATCGCGCGATAAATGCAGAGCGTTCCGATGGCTCCGTCGGCCTGCTCGACGGCCTTCACGACCGACAAAGTGACGATTTTTACCGCCAGGGCGAAGAGGCCAGGTCTCAACCATTTATGGAGAAAAACTGGTATGGCACATGCTGATGGAAATTTTGTCGATCGCAGCCACACATAGCGTGAAGACAGGGACTCCAATAGTCGGGGCCTCGCCCGTGACCACGACGACCACGAAGGCTCCCGCGACGACCGCGAAGGCTACGACTGCCAAAACTCGAAATATAAGGTTTATAAGGTATAAGCCGTCGTTGTTGGAAGGTTCTCCTCGCTTCTCTGTCCTTTGTCTCCTGCACCGACGTCCTTTGTACTCATCGCATGGTCCACGATCGCCATTGAAACTTCCTGCATTTCCTGGCTGTCATTCTATTGAACAGTCGGACATTACCATAACCAACCTGTCTTTTTTTTCTATTCGCAATTCAACGAGTTAAAAATGCGTTTGTAAAAAAATGCCTTTTGTCCACATTGGCGTCACGTGATTGAACGTCATGATGACGTCATATGTGAGTCCGGGGACGCATCGACACGTTGCGACTTTTAAAAGGATTCCTTCGCCGCGGACTAAATAAGTCGGCAAAGCACATTGACGATGCAGAATCTTCATTCTCGAGAAGAACTGCAAACAATCTGCACAGACGACGAGTTCGAACACAGGACGCGATCCCAGGAAACAAAACAAAAAAAAAACATTACAGTCAAGTTTCAATCTTAGAGCACGACGTCACCGCGACCCGATCAGGACAGGGACCCGGTGAGAGTGGTTGCCGACTCCGCGAATTCTCCACCCTTGGAAGAAAGAAAAAAATAGTTTATTGAGGGATCCTACAGATCAGCTGATACGTTTCGGACGGAAAGATATGAGCTGATATGAGCTGCGTCCTTTAAATTTTGCATACCTTCTAGGGGGTTTAACAATATGATGGCCTGGCGTCTCGAATCAGCCTTTAGTTCAAGAAAGGAATAGTAAGTTCACATCAGTACATTCGTGTATGCAGTCTGAAGAGTTACAGTATTAAAGCGAGAATGACGCGCAGGAAAATTGCTTCTTATTTAATCTCTTCACTTCTTTCCCTATACTTAATCTATGCAATCCCTCACTGCTTTCCATCCTACAGGTTCTATCCTTCCAGTACCCAGGACTTCCGCGAAATACAGTACTTATTATTCGGTTTCAGTTGCTGTGCATGGGAATGGGGATGAAATTCCATCTGGCCATTCTCGTTTTCAGTCTGTTTCTGATGAGCCGTTCGATCCGCTGCTTTGCTTGGTATCCATCTTCCCGAAGAGGAGCGAAGATCAATTGACTTTCGTTATCATAGCGCTTATGGGTGGAAGGGGTACCCAGGAGCACGGAAATCCTGGTGAATGGGGCTAAGAGGCTGCAACAACTGGCTCCAGCAGTGGGAGGAAGTTCTAACGAGGTCTCTGATAAGAACAGCCTAATAGAGGTACAGTGTCCTACACGAGATCCATCATAACTTATCATCGAAGGTATGAATCCGTTCATAATATGAAACTGACGAAGGAAACTATGCAGAAAATGATTTCGGCGAAAGATTTGGAGGATGAAGAGAGTGAAGAAAAGCGAAGCAAGACGCAAAAGTTTAAGTCTGGTATCTTTCTTCGCTCCGGAATCGACGGGAATCTCGTGATCGACCAAGTACTCGTACAGGATTCGTTGAACATGTTTCGGTGAGTCTATAGCTCTCCTCCTGGGTAGACTCAGCTCCTCTGTTAGGATCCTCTGAGTGACACCTGCAGCTTCAACGGCCACGAAATATTGCTGTTAAGACACTTGTCAGTTTGGACTATGCTGGGTCATTTCATTTAAAATCGGCCAATCCGTTGACCTGAACTCCTTCGATTTTCATGAAAGTTTTACATTTTGAGGAAATATCAGGAAATTAATCCATGCTAATATTCAGCTACCCAGATGAAGTTCTTATTAGAAAATTGCAATATGTATTGTTGCAGAAATTCGTTTCAGCCATAGGTGCTTTATGTTTTGCGCTGGTTTTCAAGAGAAATTTAAATTTCGTTTTCAAAATTTCAAAATAGAGATTGTCACCAATCAATATATTTTTGTAAAAAATCAAATTATAATTTTTTCCCTAGCAAGTTCATTAGCAGAGGTAACCTCAACGAGAATGCTGATGTCATCATTGTTTATGCTATGCAAGTAGAGGAGAAAACGAACTAGCAGAGACATCCTCGAGAGGCTCACACTTGCTGCAAGAACATCCACTCTTAAGCCAGGGACAGTCGAATCGCTGCAACTCTACTCCTCCCTGGCTTGGGAAGATGACAAAGGGGATCGACATCACGGAACTGGACATGACGCCTTTTGACTTCGCCTTTCCTGATGGCTTCAAACTCCCTCTCTTCGATTTCACATGCGAACAAGGCAACAAGATCGTCCTGAACCAGGTAAACTGGAAAATGAGGAAATTTTCAGGAGGCATAGCTGATATCTTTATTTCATAAACAGCGCTAAAATAAGCATGATCAAGGAAGAGTAGAGCTATCTGGATGAAACATCATATAGTTTTAATATGTTGTACGTTCTTATTGGTGTGATATGAAATCAATTTAAATATCTAAGGCTTGTTATAAATATGCCCAGAAGAAATTCACCAAAACACTCCGATTGCGATATCGGCTACAGAGTCTCAGTAATTTCCTGATACCATCACCGAGACGGTTCTTTTCAACGAAACAGGCGAAACATTTTCCAAGACCGGCATTAAAAATTCAACGTTTCGAGGAGTTGAGGCATCGGAGAGAAAACTTGCCATATAGTCTACTTTCTTCTTTATCTCCTTCAAACCCTCCTAGCTCTACGGTTGTTTTCGAGCATCTAACTGCGAGACTTGGGGCTGGGCGGATTGGTGGAAATCACAGTTTCGAGCGATCACTTTCATATTTATGGCAATATTGGAGTGAGAGCGTTCTGCAAATTGTCTTCGCGGATGCCTCATGCGCCTCGCAAGATGTACGAGGGGTATTCTACGTATACCAGGTCTTTTGTTCATACAAGGCAGAGTAACGTAAGTAGATTAATAACCTTTGGGAGGAATTTGTCTTCAGAGTGTTGTTAACCCATACCCACAATCGCGTGTTTCCTGCTTTAATACATGCACTGAATATCAAGATGGGGCAAATGGGGTAGCAAAGAAAGTGGGCAGCGAATACGACGGTGGTTCAAATTTGGCCTGGTGATGATTGCCTGTAAGGAGAAACTCTTCCGTCATTCAAAATGAGATCCTTAAGTCGCTTCATATTCGCGTTGTTGAATGACGTGGCTGGTCTTGCAGGGTGTGTTTAATTCTGTACGCTTTCGCACTCATATTTAAATGATTTGCACTATTCAAATACGGATGTCCTTCACAGGCTGTCATCACCATACTGTAGAGCGAATTGTCTATACATTTCAAAAGGTTGGATATATTGGTTGACCAGAAATTTCATATTGATTTCTTCTTCCACCTTCTCTGTTACCTCAACTGCCGCCATCTTGATTTTCAGCACATGTATTAAAGCAGGAATCGCGCTTTTATGGCTATGAGTTAACAGCACTCTGAAGAAAAATTCCTCCAAAATGATTCATCTGCATACTTTACTCTGCCTTGTATAAACAAAAGTCATGGTATACCTTGAACACCCCTCGTATAACAAGATGAACGCATCAATTGAGTGCCGGGAAATAATTACTTTCATGTAAACTAGATTATGAAAAGCAGGGAGCACTAAGTCCAAAACTAATGATTGACCTGATGATGTGTAGGTTTCCCTTTTTTGCCACGAAGACATACGTCCTTCATTATGAATCTTCCCCTCAGACCGAGTACCAGCTACCAGACCAGATATGGGCTATGACACCTGTTCCAGGGGGCTGGTTCTCATCCAATGTGGAGATCTTCAAATCCTATCAGGAAGTGAAGCGCTCCAGGTCGACGGAGGTTGGCGCCAAGGGGGGAATTTTCGGGTTCGGTTTCTCTGCCAGTCGCTCCTATATGTACATGCAGGACACAATCACCAACCACTCCCGTTATATCGAAGAGGTGTCTGCCTTCGAAACGGCCGTACGAGCTGACCTCCACCCAAGTTGGATCATCCAGATGAGCAAGATGATAGACAAGTTCGTTGAAGGCCGGCTACAGAAAAATTTTACCGAAGATCCGGGTGCATACGAGGAATTCATAGATAACTTTGGCACCCACTATTTCAAGACTGCACGTTTTGGAGGATTCATCAAGCTACTGCTGGAGACCAAATCGGAATACTTTAAGAACGTAACGGACGAACAAGTGAAGACCGAGGCCGGCGCTTCTTTCCTGAAACTTTTATCCCTGAAGAGAAGTATATTCGCTGATACGACGAAACTGGACGCGAGATTTGAACAGATGACACGAAAGACAATCAGGTCGGTACGCCAAAATTCCCTTTCAATTTGAACACCTTCGTCTGAGAAAGTTTTGGAAATTTTTTTTTTCCTCGCACGTTGCATTCAGACTTCAGTATTAAGAAAAATCCCGTGGAAATATCCATTCACGCTTTCATAGTACAACGCGGAAAATCATTTTCTTCAAGCAAGAAACCTAGAAGTTTCAGAGAAAACATCCCCTTCCATTCTCCTCACGACCCAAAAACGTTAAAAGCAATCTGTCAAGTTTTTCCGCAATCATTTCCGTAACGACGTATTCAGAGAATTTCAGATTTCTGTCGCGTGTAGTCACTTCGGCAGAGCTAAAATGTGCTGCTTCAAATACGCTCATTAAAGTACATTCGAAGTAGCACATTCAGCAGGATTGTCTCCAAACTAATCGAGCCATCTACGGAGAATCCAGAAATCATGCCTTCCTTCTTGCGAAAGATTTGCTTGAAATTAGCATTATTCACTCCCTCGAGATTCATGATCGTTCAGATACATGTAAGTGATACGAGTGATGCATGCAAGTGATACGAGTGATGCATGTAAGTGATACGAGTGATGCATGTAAGTGATACTACGGGGTGCAGTCAGAAAGCCCGTACCGCACACTTCTGGCATACGTTTCTGGAATTGGTTGGAATAGATTATGGTTGGACAAGGTATCATGATCAGTTGTGAGTCAGACAGCATGTCGTGAACATTGTTGGCATTCTTGTTCGTGTGCAGAACTGATTTTTCGACACAGTTTCCCCCACTGTCCTTGAGCAAAGGAGTTCGCGGAGGAAGAACAGTGTTCAATTGTGTGTGATCCGTCAGGCCCCTTCCAATGAGAAAGTTCTTTGCAATATTTTTCTGGACAAACAGGGTTTACTTCTACCTCATGTACCTTTTACCTCACGTAAAAAAATTGCGTCCGTTGAAGGCCAATGACTGGTTCATTGGAAAATGCACCACCACACAAGGCAGGTGTTGTAAGGGAGGATATTTTTTATTTAGAAAATGGTATGAAGGCCTTGCCCCATCCCCTGTACTCATCGGGCCAGGCACCCAACGACTCTTGGTCGTGTCCTCAGAACTCGAGGATTCGTCACAGAGTAAGATGTATGACTCCCGACAAGCCTGGAGTACTGCAGTTTACCAGCATATGCTTCCTCAGGTGTAAGTTTAAACAACTTACACCTGATACGCCAAGTTCTTCACTGACTGGCGACGAAGGTGGAATCTGTGTGCAGGTAAAGCAGGTGATTATGTTAAGAAGTGACCGCTTTTTCTATTCAGAACTCCTGACTGTTAATGAGATATGGCTCGACGGTATGGACTTTCTGACTGCACCTCGTACGTTCAGCAAACATAGGTGGCCATTCTGCCTGAGATCAAATAATTTTATGGTGAATAAACATAAGAGAAATTTTAATATTGACATTTTCAGATGGAAAGTAAAAGCAAAAGGAAATGCTCCATCATATATTATTTGCCATGTAGGACGATGAATTGCATTGGCCTTGTCTCCGTATCAATCGAAAATCAATAAAAAAATCAGCGTAATATCAATACATATTTTGAAGAAAGAGGTATATGCTTTATTTCAGGTATTACGGCGGAGATGTGAAATTCAATTCCACCAATAACACTCTCCAGGATTGGCAGCCGACAGTTTCGAAAAAGCCTTGGCTCTTTTCTGGTGAGCTGGAGCCCATTAGCGACCTCCTTCAGGAGGAAAGTAAGAGGAATTCCATGGAACAGGCCGTGATGAACCACGTTCTGCATGCATACGTGGATGAGCTTGCCAGAATCGTGAAGGCGGTTCCACCGCATTGGCCTGTTGGACTCAAGAAGCTCATGTCCTTGCAAGATGAGATCGCCTCTCTTCAAAGCATTCGCATCCTGGAAGAGACAAAGGTGAAACAGGTCGCAGCGGCGGTGGAAGACCAAGTGGAAATTCCTGCTTGGTTCACGCGGTGGGTGCGATTGTGCTTCCGTTGGGAATCGAATGGGCCAGGCGAGTGTTACGCTCATGGGGGAGTCCAACAACTTTGCGCCAATCCTGGTATGATGACTGCTGATTTTACGGATTCCACCAAGAGCGGTAAGGGATGCAATATGACCTGGGGAATCCTATCCGAATTCGAACCGGACTGGTTTAAAGAAGTCCGGTTCTGCTTCCGTTGGTCCAGTTGCGGTGATTGGAGCCAACCCAACTGGCAAACCTGTGGGAGAGACATCGATCCTCCAATCTGCGCACCAGTAAATAATTGGACCCAAGTCTATCTAGACAACTCAAGTAATTCAAAGACATTTCGTGTTTCGTGGAGTCTGCTCGTCCCCAATACTGCCCCCATCTGGCTTCACAACATCAAACTCTGCTTCCGTGGTGATGGTTACTGGGATCCAATGGGTAAACCTAACCGTGAAGCATGCGCCATTGCCAACGAGTGGACTCCCTATCGTCACGACGTATCTTCTCCTGGTTATAACTCCTTCATTTTGAATTGGAGTCTTAAAATGGAATAAACCGTTGGATTTACTCCATCAACTGATCTCTATTGTCTGTGGAACACTGCTATTGGGTACAGCCTTGACAGAATATTTATGTCTCTGGTTTTTTTTTCGGGAAAAAAATTCCACCCCATAAGTTTGACTCATGTCGAGTGGCAGTAGCGTCTTCAATGCCTAGGGCTTCTACATGAAAAAAGTACCATACCGTGACCTCTTGGTAAGTACAAAAGTACCAGGGCTGGCTAATGCTGCTTCAAAATGATCATATTTCGTAAATTCGCATACCTACATCAGGGCGCCGCATTTACACTTTCCGGTTACCGCGTTCAATTTGTCTTAGTCATTGTTTTAGCAAAGAACGAGGAAGGAAGGAGTCCGTGAGCGGCTGCACTGCAAGCAATTTGCATTCGGGGTTCATCAATGAGCACAATATCAAATATTTTTACGATCAAGAGTCCTAGAACCATTTTGGTCGGTACCTGTGAAATGCAATCATGAGTCTCTCAAGATTCCGTTTGAACTTTGTTAATAGCGACCATGAATTGAGAATCCTTAAATTGGTCAAAGGGATTGTGGATAAACACACAATAAATGAATTTAGCGTTCTCTTCAATTGAGTTGATCATAGGTTAAGTTGTTATGGGTCTCCCAACGAAAAATATATTGTATTCAAAATTATTTTCTCTTGGAAGAAATAAATAATGGTTCAGATGAACTGTAAGGAGACAGCCGGAAAATATAAGCGGTTACCATCTACGAGGGTGTTTCAAAAAGTAAGGGTAATTTCTTACCGGTCGAAACCTGTTCATGTGAAGAAACAACGCCTTGCCATCAGCATGTTGCACACTCCAACTAGATTTCCATGTAGCACTTGGCAACATGCACGACAGGCGCCAGCGCTGAAGTAGTTAGCGTTTGCGCCGGATTTCTGCAGCTGACAGTGATTCGCTCTTGCTTCCAGCTCAGACAACATTGCAGGCTTGAATCCGGATGACAGATGGAGGGAATGGTCTCGTTGGTGTCATCGGCCGACCAGTCGATCGACCGGGGTGGCTCCAATGACGGCCACAATGCGTTAACCGACGGGGCCGGGTCGTCTGTCCACGTCGGATTCAATAGATGCGTGTTCTTGCGGACATGATATTGAAACGTGGGCGTGTCGTTCACTGAGGATGGATTTCTGTAGAAAAAAAATGTACGTTTCGATTAAAACGGCTTAGGGCACATATTGCGCAAAGTCGTATTTTCACGAATTTTCTGATCCAGTAAAACAGAGGGAGCATGAAAGGTAAAAAAAAAAACTAGGCAAATAAGGACATGATGGATAGCTGCGTAAAGGAAAAATTTTAATTTCATTATATATGGACAATCGTGAGTGGATGACTCTCTGACATAAATAGCTTTTCGCATGCTGACTTCAGGAAAATTTCTACTTTGGCGATGCAGGGTACACCTTTCGGGGAACATATTTTCAAAAAGTTTTCTTCGAACAGAGACACATGGAAAGCTGGAACTTGGATAGGACGCGACCATTGACGCACTGAGCTTAAGTGTCTAACGTCAAAATTTCCAAAAAAAAGTTTTGGGGTTCATATTTCTTGAGGACGTAACGTTTTAAAATTATTTTTCATATCTTTCCGAATCGGATAGAAATGGAAAAGTAGCTGGCGCACCTATAACGGGGAAACGTATGAGGCTGAAACTGGGTGGCACGTCGTTCCCTGAGTCTCCATATGAGAATTTTTTTTTTTCGCTAAAACCCATCGGGGCACTTTCTTTTAGGTCCCATTTTCCTGAATTTTTTTTTTGATCCAACGATACAGAGACAGAAAATTTAAACTTCCCTCAGAAGTACCTTTCCATTTCTGTCCAATTTGCCACAACTTTTTTTGAAAACATCGCCCCTCGAAAAAATTCCCCCAGGGGATATTGTATAATGTATAATGAGATAATGGACTTAATATTTTTACTTAACTCTTTGTCTCATTTATGCAAAGTTTCAGCTTTTTATGTTCATCAGTTTAACTGATGAACAACTCATGAATAACTCATGAATAACTTGAAAACAACTCCCTTTGAAATTTGTGTCCCCAGTGCATTTACTTCTAAAGACTGAAGTTTTCTGCTGCATCCCAACAGGTTGTTATGTACCAAGTTTCATCTTTCCACACTAGTTCAATACGCCAGGATAATAAAAAAAAAATTCTTGAAACCGTCGGCTCGCAAAAATATGCCCCGAGGGCATGGATCAAAATTTTTCCATTTTTCTTGCACTCATCGTCTCGGTAGGCACATCCATGCCAAGCTTCAGCTTTCCATGTCTCTCCGTTTTACTCAAGCAAAAATAACGTTATAGTGGGGGAATGACTAACTGGACATGTAAGGCAAAAAAAGCCAAAAGATCGCCATTGACTGGCCGGGAACTGAACCGGTACCATTTGATTGGCAGTTAGAAACGCTACTGCTACACCACCGAACCCAGGACATCTGGGTAGCTCTCTGAATGCCATCCTCATTTGTCACAAAATATCAATAATTCAAGCCGAGTCCAACGTGCGACAAAATCGATCGGGTGATTCCACGGTCAAGCGTCCCTGCCCGACAAGAGCTGCGAAAATGTGCTTCGCGGTGAACATCACGAGCGAACATCCAGTCGACACCAGCGGGTAACGAAGAAAGCAAGTGGATGCATGAAGCGAGTGAGTCTCCAGATGCCTCTCCAGAGGAGAAGGAGGAGCTCTGCGAAGCACTTCATCGTGGATGTCCTTCGCGGCGGTCCAAGAGCCCTCCAGTCCAAGAGTCCTTCAGTCGTCCACCGCGCGATTTCTCCTCATTGCTTTTTCTCCTGGAATCGCTCGTTTTTAGAGGAAAAAATGGATTCGTGGCGGAAAAAAATTCCCGAGGGCCGGAAGTCTTATCGGAGGCTGCGATCGGATCGCGTCCGGAAATATCCGAGCCGGAAACGAGGATCCCCAATTAGTCGGATGAGACCCTGGACCATTTTTCCCTTTTCGATCCGGCCGGTAACGAGGATTCTTTGTTCCTCGCTGACGATATCCCGCGGCGATAAGGGGATTCGCGTCAATCGACGTTCGTGGTCGGTCGGAAACGGTCTGCAAAATTTTCAGCGGAAAATGGCGTTTTTCGGCAATTTGGCGTTGTGTGTTCTCCTCGCTTCCATTCAGGTCGGTTCATTGAGTTTTCTGCATTTTTTTGCGAATTTCGAGTTGTCGCAGAAAGGTGAGAATTGCGCAGATTTTGGCAGAATTTTGGCGTTGAAACGAGTTGCGCGATGTTCGTCCCAATAGCGAGCAATTTTTTGGCTAATTTTTTGGCTAATTTTTTGGCTAATTTTTTGGCTGATTTTTTGGCTAATTTTTTGGCGCACGTTGGACTCAGCTTTCCATGTCTCTCCGTTTTACTCAAGCAAAAATAACGTTATAGTGGGGGAATGACTAACTGGACATGTAAGGCAAAAAAAGCCAAAAGATCGCCATTGACTGGCCGGGAAC